GGCTTGAGCGGATCTGTCATTCTAACGTACATAGCAAGGTGTAGAGCTGAATGAACACAGCAGGCTAAGCAGCATCAGAGGAACAGGAAAGCTGACGTTTCGGGTCTGGACCCTTCTTCAGAAATCTTCAGTCAGCTTTCCTGCTGCGTTCATCCAGCTCTACACCTTGTTATCTCAGATTCTTCAGCATCGGCAATTCCTCCTATATCTGCCATTCTAGCGTCCCATCCGTTCCTATTGCTCTGGCTGTACATGGACAGGATCTAAACTGCTAATTATTACCAACATCACAAGATGTGGGTCTTTCAAATAACACTACAGAGGGATTATTAATTCCAGCTACCACAGTCCTCGATGCACCAACAAGAATGTATTCTAAAGGATTTCACAATCATCTGGCAAAAGATCCTCCAAGGATTGAACAAAACCATTCATTCCAATGAGGGACGGAAAATAATAGAAGCGAGGAACAGAATTGGCTGCCATATTAGCCAGAAGAATAGCCTTTAAACTGCCTGAAAGATGCTGTTTGCTGGCACCTTTGAAATGGTAATTGCGCGTTTCTGAGTGTCCAACGCACTTCATGTCTGAGGAGAGAGAACTGGGGGCAAAGGTCCCTTTAATCCTTTCAAGTGTTTATGGACACTGAGGCCACCCTATTGTTCAAAAGACACCCAGTGTCTAATGAGAGGAAGTCATTTATGAAATTCAAATCGTGTGACCTTTCTTTCACAACACAGGATCTAAAAAAAACTTACATTCTGGGACTGACAGTGAAAAGTTATGAGAAAGCTGAGCTCCCTGAGCCAGGATCTGCCCCCTTTTCCCATGAGTACACGTGTGAGGAGCTTTCCAGCAACATTATAGTCGCTGGACAATAGGGTCGACCCGGGATTTCGTGTTTATCGATGTTTGTCTACAAAGTAAAAACAGAAATAACCATGAGGCAGCGCCTGCCTTCAGAATGAAGCTTTACCTTCAGCGGGGAGTCCAGCAGCTTATGAACTGCCGTCACTTGCTCTATTAAAGGGATGGTCTCGTAAAAGTTGTAAGTCGGCGGTCTCCTGGGCTCGGGGAAGTTGGTGCAAACGAATGGGTCCATGTCATCCAGATATTGCACTCTGCACGTTATAGTCGCCATGGTCCCGAAGTCAAACCTCCTCCTCAAACCGAGTTGCAAAAGTGCACACACACACACTCCTAGAGGAGTGACAGTCCCAGCGTGTGTTAGAGAGTGGCCGTGATCCCAGACTGTATCCCTGAGCGAAATATCTGAGTGAAACACAGTGCTCGACGCAACCAGGAAGTAGAGTGAGTGAGGCAGCGGCTTAAAGAGGGAATGGACGCGACAATATCACTGACTGAACGCATTCTCAGGGCGGCACTGTTTTTTTTGTTAATTTCTTTCGCTTGATGCCATTACCTCTGAAAATAAACAAGGCACCGAGCGTCCAACAAAACCGGTTGCATTCCCAGCACTGGCGTAAAAATAGTGAGTCACGGGCAGCAGGGCATATCCCCACAGGGAGCTAACATTTCTTTGCGTGCAAGACCAAGGTGAAACGTGGAGCGAATTGTTCGGAGGCTGCGATTCTTCCACAGACAGTGAAATTGCCTGCTGGACTGGATCTTTAATATCGAGAGTGAGAGCGTGGGCAATTCCTGTGGTATCTTGCCTGCAACGCCTTCCCTTGAACTGATATCACAGAAAAAAAAATCGATTTCCCTGATCATTCACCTGCTCCATCTTTCTGGGATCTCACTGTGTCCATGTCTCCCCGCATTTAACAGGGTTTTTCTGTACATGAAACACTCAGATATTACTAAGCTACACCAAAAAAGCTGAAAAATGCAGATAACAAGGCGTAGAGCTGGATGAACACAGCAGGCCAAGCAGCATCAGAGGAGCAGGAAGGCTGACGTTTCAGTCTAAGCTGAAATATGGAACTTCTTTCCTTTCAAGTTAGTTTTAAGTTGGTGTAAGAGTTTTTATTAATTGTTTTTTTAAAAGAAAACAATATAACAGAGACTTTATGAGAATGTCTGTGCTTAAGATATTTATTGTTTCGGGTATCCTGCCGAAAATAACCCTCTTCACAAACAACTAGGCGTCATTTTAATAAGGCCATTGTGAAAATCATGTAAACAGTCAAGCACAATGCCCCCCATAGCAACATCGAACCTCCCGGTGTATTTAATTCTGATTATAAAGTTAATTTGTTCATCAAACTGTGTCACTTCTAAATAAAACAAAACCGAAGACAGATAACCATGGTGTGTTGGAACCTTACTCTCGCCACCCTCTGGATGGTACACACATGGCAGGTTGTCTTGCTGAATATCAAAAATCACACGACACCAGGTTATCCTAGAATCCCTACAGTGTGCAAACAGGCCCTTTGGCCCAACAAGTCCACACCAACCCTTAGAGCATCCCACCCAGAAACCCATCCCCCTATACCACTCATCCCTGAGCACTATGGGCAATTTCCCATGGCCAATCCACCTAGGCTGCACATCTTCAGAATGTGGAAGGAAACCGGAACACCCGGAGGAAACCCACACAGACACAGGGAGAATGTGCAGACTCCACACAGACAGTTGCCTGAGGGTGGAATTGAACCCTGGTCCCTGGCACTGTGAGGCAGCAGTGCTGGCCACTGAGCTACCGTGCCACCCTACAGTCCAACAGATTTATTTGAAAATGCAAGCTTTCGGAGCTCAGCTCCTTCCTCAGGGTTAGTGTGAGAGAGAGGGTATAGCCAAGTTCTTATACCCTTGAGGACAGCCTCAATGGCGATCTTGGGTTCATGTCGCACTACAGGTGACCACACCACACTATATGCTCCCATATACACACACACACACATCCACGCACACTTGCATGCTTACACAGACCCTATCTCTGACACACACTCTCTCACACATGTACACTCCTTAACACTCAAACTCTCTCAAGCACACACACGTAAACACTCTCTCTCACACACACACACGCACAGAGACATGGACACACATGCGCATACACACACATGAATTATTTCATCCAAGATGTTTATGTAGTTGCAGATACATTCTGTTTTGCTCAAAAATAAAACCTGACCCCAGTTTAAAACATAGATAGATTCTAAGCAACACCTCACGCCAAAAATGCATTGTCTGACCTGAGATGTCACCTCTTGTATACATTGATAAAACCTTTAATTATCTCGGGACAATGACTGGAAAGGAATCTGAATTTTGCATTTCAATCAGTAGTCTCCTTTCTAACTGATGAAAGATTCAACAAGAGGCGGCCAGTTTTAGGGTTGTTACCTTTATGCTTACAAATTCTGTGTCTTACACCCTCTCTCTCACGCTACGCTTGAGGAAGGAGCTGAGCTCCAAAAGCTTGCATTTTCAAATAAACCTGTTGGACTATAACCTGGTATCCTGTGATTTTTGACCTTGTCCACCTCAGTCCAACACCAGCATCTCCACATCACTGCTGAATACCAGAAATTCTTGAGATGGTCTGATCATTACAGGAGTACAAGGATATTCATCATGGAGAAAGAGAGTGTGTTTGTGTGCATGAGAGAGTTTGAGTGTGAAGAAGTGTACGTGTGTGTGAGAGAGTGTGTGTAAGCATGCAAGTGTGTGTGTATGGGAGCGTATAGTGTGGTGGGGTCAGAAATGTCCTTCTGAGAATGGCACTACCAAAATGTGACTCTTTCCCATGTGGCCACACCTACTGCCCCATGAAGTGGTTTAGGAAGCCAATCAGTATGAAAACCGATTATTACATAAGAAATCCCTGTGGCCACCTTCAAAAGGCAACAAGTGCTGCCTGACAAATGAAACATTAGTAGCGTCACCCACATCTTTAGAGCAATTCTCGGTTTAAATACGTGACTTTTTGGTCGTCTCTCTCAAAGCTTTTTCATAAATTGGGAGAGTTCAGACATTCTGAAATGACTTAGTGAGTTTATCCAGGGCTTTGGAGATCAGGAAGATTCCCAGTTGCAATCCTTGGCTTGTGCTAATCACAATCTCAGTACCTTTGGTTATGTTGGCTTGGGTTTCTATAGTATCTAGTTACCCCTGCTGGGAGGGTTAGACTGGGCCGTAATGCCCCTTCCTTCTGCTCAAACAGCCTGAGAAAACTCACTACGAAGGAGACAATCTGAGTAAGAGACCCTTAAAGCAGATACCAGAGAGTGGCAGACAACTGGTACAAATAAAGAGCCTTTACACAGCACTTTTCATGGCTTCATATTACCACTTCACATGAAGTACTTTTGAAATGTAACAATGTGACCAAAAATATTAACATTAATAACATAGGGAAAGACAGCAGTCTGTTTTCTCACAGGACTGTTCTGAAAATAGCAACAAAGTAAATAAGCAGATCCTACAGCTTAGGGGTGTTGTCACTCCTGCCTTCTATCACGGAGGTTGTAGATGACAGTACATGGGAGTGGCTGGACCAGCTCTTATCTCTGGATGAACTCCGGCCTCCGAGCCCTTAGAAAGGAATAAAACTCCTAACGGCTTACTGGCCAAGTTGTATTCAGCTCTTTGGGACTTTATTGTCCAGGACCCCATGGATGTATATGACAGTATGCTTCTGGCTGGTAGCATGTGTGAATCCATGAGGAAAGGTATCATCACCCTCATTTTTTATTCATTCACGGGATGAGGGCATCGCTGACCAGGAAGCATTTATTGCCCACCCCTAATTGCCCAGAGGGCAGTTTAGAATCAACCACATTGCTGTGGGTCTGGAGTCACATGTAGGCCAGACCAGGTAAGGATGGCAGTTTCCTTCCCTAAAGGACATTACAGGCAGAAGGGGGAAAGGGAGGAAGTTAGAAATTGGTGACCAATCTCACTGCTCAATGCAGATTACAAAATCCTGTCTAACATCATCGCCAACTAGGTCAGGTCAAACCTGTGCTGTACTGGGCAGGACGATCCCTGAGAGCCTCACGCTCCTGAGGGATACGATTGCCTATGTGCAGGATGGGGGGAAGGTAGATGCCTGTCTTATCAGCCTGGACCAGGAGAAAGCCTTTGACAGGATATTGCACACCTACGTGTGGAACATGTTCTCCAAAATGGGCTTTTGGGGAGAGAATTCACAATTGGATCTGGCTGCTCTACACCCACATTGTTAGCGCAGTCTTAATCAATGGGTGGGAATCAGAAAGCTTCCCGATCAGAAACAAAGGAAGGGTCACTGAACCTGAAACATTAACTCTGATTTCTCTTCACTGATGCTTAACAACATGCTGAGCTTTTCCAGCAATTTCTGTTCTTGTCTCCGATTTACAGCATCCACAGTTCTTTTGGTTTTTATTTAGCTTCCTGATTAGACCTGGAGTCAGGCAGGTCTGCCCACTCCCCACTGCCTTGTTTGTGCATTGTATAGAGCTTTTTGGTGAGTCCGTCAGGAAGGATGTGAGCCTGAGAGAGGTGACTACTCCAGGCAGTAGAGGTCAGCAGGTCAAAGCCTCTCTGTATGTGCATGATGTTGCTGTTTTCTGCTTGGATTGGCTGTTTGAATTGGCCTTGGGAGCCAAGGTAAGTCGAGGCAAGAATGGGGTCATATTCTTTGGGAACTGGACTGACCGATCCTTTATCCACTTCATGTCAGGGCAGATTACCTGAAGGTGCTGGGAATATGGTTCGGAGGGGCTAGGACATGTGCAAAATCTTGGGAGGAGCATATCGCCAAGGTGAGGCGGAAACTGATCTTATAGGAGCACCGCTCCCTCTGTATTGTGGGTAAAAACCTGGTCATCAGGCGTGAGGCACTCTCTCTGTTGTACGTGGCACAGGTCTGGCCCATTTCCTGAAACTGCGCCGTTGCAGTCACCCAAACCATCTTCCTCTTCATCTGGAGGTCTAAGATGGACTGTGTCCACAGGGACACCATGTACAAAACTCTGGATAAGGGGAAGAACATACCCAATGCCACCCTCTTCCTGATAGCCACCTTTATGTGGCTGCATCAAGCTGTGCGTAAGCCTTTGGTATGTAAACATCAAGTCTCAGTATGTACTGTCCCCAGTGTTGTGAAGGATGGGTCTGGCCTCGGTGCTATGGAACGCTCTAAGCAGTTGGACTGTTCCATATCACCTGTCCTTTGTGGAGAAATTTGCAAAGCAAAACACCTTTGACCACAGGTCCATCAGGAAGTGGTCAGCACGTAGCATCCTCAAGACCCTGTGGGAAAAGGAGAGGATGGATCTTGTCGGGTCGTTCCCTGAGCAAAGTCTGAGAGATAATAGAGGCCGAGGCTAATGCTCTTGGAATTTAACTCAAATCCCACCATGGCATCTGGTAGAATCTAAATCCAATTAATAAATGTGAAATACAAAGAAAAGTTAGTCTTAGTAATAATGGCCATAAAGCTAACAGCTATTGCCATAAAAGTCCATCTGGTTCACTTTAGGGAAGGAAATCTGTATCTTTTACCTGGTCCGGCCTACATGTGACTCCAGACTCACAACAATGTGGTTAGCTCTTAACTGCCCTCTGAAATGGTCTAACAAGTCACTCCGTTCAAGGGCAATTAGGAATGGATAATAATTTTCTGGCCTGGCCAATGATGGTCATACCCCAAGAAGGAAGAAGAGGCTGCATTGTCTTTCTGGACTTGGCATCACCAACAGCAATAACCAAGCCTCCCCTAGTACCATGGTTTAAAGTAGTACCACCACAGGGAAATCCATCATCAACCTGTCTGGCCATACCCTTCAACTAGCCGAAATCAACGTTCTCAGCCAAGGGTTCAGTTTCTGCCCAACCACCAAAATGGACCCTATTTGTCTCATGGCAGACACAGAGGAATTCATCAAGTGAATGAGGCTCTGGGAATTCTTCCACAAACCCCAAGATATCAGAAGCGAACTCAATGAGACAACCAATGAACCGGATCAGTCGACAGAGAGATCCATGGTGCAGCGAAGGAGTTGAATTGGATCCCTCTGGAAGGCCACTGCCCTAGGTTCAACATGTGTGCTGAAGCCAGCATGAGATGCATTAACGCCAGATTCATCAACCATGCTCACAAGATAGCACAGAACATCACCCAGGCACAACGCAAAGCCATCCAGGCTTTCAAGACCAATCACAACATTGTTATCAAACCAGCAAAGGAGGAGCCATTGTCATAAAGAATAGAACGGACTATTGCAAGGAAGTGTACTGATCGCTGAACAACTAGGAACACTAAAGACAAATACCTGCTGATCTGACAAAAGAACACATCTGTCA